ATGTTATATATTATATATAGGGTTGTGCGATAGACTTACCTCCATCTGGTGCACCCTGGGCAACGTAAACTCATACGGCAAAAAGTCTATAAACCGGCAGTTGACTTCTCACTTCAAATTACCATGACACCATTGTATGTCATATTCCACCACTTTCACAGTACTCATCTTACCTTTTCTCTGACGTTGTGTCTGTCTGTCCATTTTGGATTTGTGAATCACTCTTCTATTCCCTCTCTTTACTTTTTCTCATTTTGATGTTCCTAAAGGGTTAATGATAACTATCAAAACGCCTGCCATTTGAAATAAATACTAACAATAATAATATTATGCCATAAAAGGCCAATATCTTTACTATGTGAAATGATATATCGTAAATACATCTACTTTCTTGAATTTCAAAAAGAAAGGCTTTGATCACAATTATTGTCTCAAATGCTCATCACTGAAATTAATTTTGTTTATCATAAATAATTAATTCACTAAGAAAATTACGTTAGTAGAGACTCAAGTGTAATAATTCTACAAGAATCTATATTCTTTCAAAAATGTTGCCTTCTCAAGAAGGGTTCTTCAAGTTGTGAATCTTTACATTTGAAAAGTGCAGAATGTATTTCTAGTTGAATTAAACTAAACTTTGGAGAACAAAGATACAAATATGCTGGAAATAATTTTTATTGAGGCTTAAAGCAATTGTAGTAGTCTTGATTGAAACCGTCAATTAATTAAAGAGATGAAGTTGATGACCTTTGTCGTATAGCCTAGCTTTGATGACTTATTGTCGAAACGGAAACTAAAAGTACATCGCAATCAAATGTCAAGGCCAATCCCAATCGAAGTGACAAGGTTGCAAAGGGGATTCACATTTTCATGCCCTAGGAATCATTATTTGCCCTCCTTTCAATGTACTCCAGGAGTTAGTGCAAGGGGTAGAGCACTCTCTTGAGCGATTTTCAGTAAAATTTCCATTTACTTTCCAGATTTTTTCGCCCTTTTAGGTGTCTTTCGAATCCTCCTATCACAGACGATTGGAGGCCTGCTTTTTGGTTTCACCGGAGGTCAACCGTTGACGGTACTTCTCACAACAGCACCGCTCGCTCTCTACGTAAAGTGTAAGTGCAGGAATGACCCATTTCACTAGTTTTGACCTTGAGGCAAGACAAAGTTTCAGATATTCATGTCTCAATGTAATTTGATTGGGGGGGGGTGGGAGGGGTATTGAGTTGTCCTGATCTTCACACAAAACGCGATCATTTGGTACCATGGCCTGGACTGAAAGCTTGCTTGCAGATTTTTACTCTATTTTGTGATTTCAAATTTGAATTACGCAGCATCAAACTCACACGTATTTGTTTAATTGTATTGAGGACAAAATTAAGATTCATTTGATTTACGCGCCATTGCAGCTGAAGGTGGATTCAAACAAACCATTCTTTAATAAATTTCCACATGGGCGTTCAATTGTTTCGTATTAAGTTTAATTACACGCAGTCCTAAACACGCCTTAAGAATGGATTGCTATGGTAACAATACATTCACGCAGTTCGTAACTTCTAATACCTTCAATTAACTAGTTAGACTAAAGGAGCAGTTGAGATGCGTACCGCTGATTACTCATAACAAATTTATTAATTTCCTGTATATCCTCTTACGCTTAATGCAAAATTTGGCTTTCACAATTTATTTATTTCGAATGGCAGGCGTTTTGATAGATATAATGATCCATTTAGCTGACTTCGGGTTTCACAGAGGGGAGGGGGGGAGGGGAGAACGTCGAAGTGAGAAAAAGTCGAGAGGGGGGGGGGACAAAATAACGATTCACTGATGTAACAGAGACAGACAGACAGACAAAATGCCAGAGAAAAGGTAAGATGACTACTGTGGAAGAGGTCGAATATGGCATACAGTGGATGATGGTAGTTAGAAGTGAGCAGTCAACTGCCAGTTAATAGACTTTTATGCCGCATGAGTAAATGTTGCTCAGGATGCACCACGTGAAGGTAAGTCCATCGCACACCCCGGATTTTAAAATAGCTCGTGGTTATTGGCGAAAACTTCAATTTTAATACCTGTAAAATTATGATATATTTGGAGGTAAATATGCATGGAATTTTCTGATTTTGACCGCCGTCAACTCCCCCGGCTATAAATCTGCGAGATTCCCTTCAATTCTTTAAGAGAATAATGAAATGGGAAGAAGTGTCACCTTTGTAATTTCTAATGTCGACAGTCAGTAGAATTTCTTGCAACTAAAAAACATAATCTGACCAGGGTGAGGAAGTGCTCCGTGGAAGCAATGGTCGTGAGGGTGTTGCGGTGGAGTGTCTTTTCAATAATATTTCCGCTCTCACACCCGCATGCTTGAGAGCACCCGTTAAGAAGTAGTTTCGGAAATTATTGGATAATCATTGGCCAATCGGTCATTACACATTTACATCTATGAAAGCAGCTCAATTTTAGTAAATTAAAGAATCGCCATTTAAGCTATAGGTCGTCTCATTTCTTATCTTTCGTTTGTGCGTATTAGTAGAAGTTTAACAAAATTTGACGGTAAAAATGTTGACTTCAGTTCCCCACTTGGGATTGCCTTGGATAAGGGGAATAGGTATTAATATGACTTACACAAGGCGGTAGTAGGATTAATCTCCCTGTCATATATCCTCTGTGAGAAGTCAGCCTCACTAATCCCAATGTGTGATTGGCCTCCCAAAGCCAACAGATCAAAACACGACGGACTGGTATGTGTCTATTGGCGATTATCGATGCTACACATTAAGAAGCCATAGTAATTTACTGTCAATCTACTATTGGGAGGCACTGATAGGTTATATTGAGCTACGTATTACATTGTACGTTTTTTTTAATTCATATCTCCACACCTCTATCGTAGTAATATATACTGTGACGGTGACATACGACTTGGAATTCTACGCGTTCTTTGGGTGCGTGGGACTGTTCAACGCGGGATTCCTCTTCATCTACGCCGCCTTCGACGCTGGTCGTATTATGCGATGGTCTACGAGGTATGATCATATGCATTTCCACTAACTTTTGACCAACCATTTCTTGGCCAATAGAGGAAAACACGCTTATTAAAGAAAATGTACATATAATAGGTGTTTTTTCATTTTAAAAACCAATTACATTGCATGGAAACCGAAACAAGGGAGTGAGCGAGTTAAATCTGTAGTCTACTGCCATTCGTTAAAATAAAATCGATTTTCCTAATTTCATTTTGTGATATTGAAATTATTACCACTTGGTTAGCAAACATAAGCTCCACTCAACTTGGCTCTGTTTACTTAACACCACTCAAATTAGCCCCATAACCACCAGAAAAGTGTACCTGATCCAATCGTAAAGCTATAATTGCACTGGCGATAGTATCTTAGAACCTTTCTGGTGGGAAGCACGCATTTTATTATGCCTCATATTAAGTCGTACTGAGCATTGTAGCAACCTTTTGCGTAAAGGCACTGAATGCTAGAAAGCAATTGATTTTCCTTAAAAATCAACTCCACGCTATAAATACTTCGATAAGAGAGTTTGTTCTTTAAATGTATGGCATTTGAATGAGATTTTACTAATCATACGATCGTTACTTTAAAACATTATCCACCATTCAACCCCTCCCCCTCCCCCCCCCACCAACAAACCAATGACTTGAATTCTTCAAGATGTCAGGAGAATGTAGGTGGAAAAGAAAATCCATAAAAGAAATTCGAGCGAGTTAAATTGCCTTCTTACCAATAATGTTCCAAACATCCCCTTTCTCATGATTGGAGAAACTTAATTGGGTGGGAAAGGATAAATACAATTTTTTAGGGTCGGTACAAATTCGGCTTCCAGTGCATGTGAAAATTATTATTCGCATTAAAAGAATAACAAATTTCATGTAGTTGGTATATCACCATTTTTGGGTCATGGTGGTGATGGTGGGGAGGGGGGGGGGGTTGGATTTTCTCAAACTTGCCTGTGGGCACTCTACAGTAGGCTTACAGAGTAAATTTTAATTCATTGCTTCTTGAGTAATTGCGTTCATACTAGAGTCTACTTGAATGAGGACGTAGCCAGTGTGATAGATCGACTTGAGCGTCAAATCACTTGACCATTCAATTAGAATGAATAAGTCATGGCTCCAGGTGATTGGAGATCGCAGTATTTGATTCTATTCATTTATTTAATAATATCAACTGGCAGTCTTTATGACAGTTATGATAAGCCCTTAAGCTGGCTTCGGATTTCACAGAGGGGGAGAAATATTGAAGGCACAAATAGTCGAGAGGGGGGAACAGAAGAGTTATTCACAGATGAGAACGAGACAGATACAAAGGTAAGGTGAAATGCGTTCTGTGGAAGTGGTGGAATATGACGTAGGAGAAGTCAACTGCCGGTTAATAGACTTTTTCTGGCGTTGCCCAGGGTGCCCACTCCTGATTCTATTCATAAGACTAGGAAAAGAAGGAAAAATCTCAGTTTATTAAAAATTTTGCCCGAAATCGGAGTTTGCAGGCACTGGTAACATGTTATCTGATAAAATTTATATATATATATATTTCATGTGCAGGTCAAGTATGCTTGAAGGATATGCGGAAACTTAAAATTGAAGGTCATTGTCCTGTTTTTTTTCGGCCTTGAGATAAGCAATCCCCTCAGGACCAGTCTCTCATCATTTTTATCGTTCGATAGAACAATTTTCATCGGTCGGAGGTATGATTGCAATATTATCGTTTAGTCATAGGTTTTTTATTTGCTTTGCTGACCGTCAAATAAAGAAAGAGAGCTTGCTTTAAAAATGAATTTGTTTACAAAATGGAAATTTTGCAAATTTCTCCCCACAAATTACAAACGCCTAGTTAACTAATTAATCAGAAGTGCTGTTATTGTCAAACGTTTAACTCGAGGTGAGTGATGGGAAAATGTCCTAAATTTGCAGTTACATAAGTGGTATTTGTTTGCACTAAAAGGCAAATCAATGAAATATAAAATTTATGAATGTAATCCACTTTATTTCCTATTTGCAGGTCAACAGAGGAGATATTCGCCATGTTTGTGTCGATCGCCTTCCTCGTAGAAGCATATCGTGATGCAGCAAAAGGTGAGAGTGCGACCAAGGTTGAAATTTGCTTCATAGTCATCTTGGAGCACCTACCGCATAGAAGGCATTAGCGCAATGGTCAAAAGGAATTGGCCAAACAGTCACCGCCTTCAAACAACCATGTGAAAAGTGGGGGGAAACTACCTAAAGAAAATTAGTTTTATCAACTGGCAGGCTTATGATAGTTTTTATTAACTCTCTAGTTGACTTCGAGCTTCACAATGAGATGGAACATCAGAATAGTGATGAACAGAAGAGTGATTTACAGATGTAAAAGAGACAGGCAGACACAGAGGTAGAGAAGAGATTAAGGTGAGTGCTTTAGAAGTGGTGGAATATGACATACAGTGGGGTCATGGTAGTTTGGAGCCGTATGAGTGTACGGTGCCCAGCGTGCGCCACGTGGAGGTAAGTCTATAGCCCACCCCCACCTAAAGGAACTATATTCGTGAAATCGGACCCTGAAAAATGCAAGAAGTGGTGAACGGAAGATCGATAGTTTATTATAGTTTTTATGTGAAAAAAAGTTATTATTAAGTTAATGGGTTAGGATGCACACCCAAGTGAATGTAAAAATGAATGCTAACGTCTTCTAGGATTAGTATCGGAAGGCGTTATCTCAGAACACATTGAATACATACTAGAGAACCCCATAAAATCATTGAATTATCTATGCAGTGTAAAGCATCTACATCGATCAACTGTATTAAACTTCAACTCTCTGACCATTTTATGAAGGTGGCAAGTCAGATGATGTCCCATTGACTAAACCTCAACAATCCCCTCTAGCAAAATTACCCATCTGTCAATGGTTTTCAAAATTAATTGAGCTATTGCAACAGGAATAAGGTAACAGCTCGTATGGAATGATTAGCTAAATTATAGCAAATTTTGCTTTCTCATTCGTCCCTGGTGCTTAAGTTCTATTGCAAGCATATTCTAGAGTGTTCTACCGTGGTTGTGATATCTTTGATCGATCTTGGCAGTATTGTTCAATCCACATGATTATTAACGGGAAAATTTAAAGGGTGGAAGAGACATTTGAATTGTTGACACAATTAGGATGATTCAAATACCTATTGATTTGCTACTAAATAAATTAGTAGAATGATCACACTGATGGCCCGTAAAATTTCATCTACTTTCAGAGTAAGTAGTATTTTGTACTCCAAAAGCTCGATGTACTGAAATATTTTTACTTTATTAAATTATCTAATCAACCACATGAAAGTGTTCAAGTACTCAATTTAGGAAGTGAAATGGTTGCGACAAATGTGTCAAAATAATCGAAGGCTTCTGGTATATATCAATCGACTGGGTCTTTGGATGAGGTATTCTGTAGATTTCTGTTACATCACCGATCAGCTGAACGCATGGGCTGACGTACACCACTTCTAACAGCCGAACGGTTATTTGCTCCAATCAATTATCATCAGTTTGACGAAATTCAGAAGATCTATCTTCAATTCAATTCATTTCAATTAGACAGCTTAGCTATATTTGGTTGGCGAAAAGAGCTTAGTTCAAAACTTTTCTTTCCACTATTTTCAAACATTGCCAAAATAATCATAATTGACCGAAGTTTCGAATTTTAAACACTGGAATCAAGATCCTCTAATTGTGATGGCGACCTAAGCCATCCTATATTAATCACTAAATTAACCAGCAAATTGAAATTATAAGAGATGACGAGAATAATTTTTTTGTGATGTTTCGATTATTTTAGAATTTTATGCTCACTATATTGACTGTATCCCACCAAGTCAGTGCCTGAAACCGAGTGACCTTGCAATGGCAAAACTAGCCAATCAGTACTCAATGCCCAATAATCACTCCTTAGACCCATCTGCATTTTCCACAGCCTCATACAACTATTCTTCCATCGCCCAACTCCTTAGTCCTCTTGCAATGATGCTCAATGACAGTAGCAATGTCGATGCGACAGCTTCCAATGCCACTGCTGTAGACAAAGCCGTCTGCAAACCTGAGGTCGCCATTCTCTATCTACTGCTCCTCGCTTGCACCTTCTGGATATGCACTTCCATGCTCAATTTCACCAAAACGTAAATGAACAATTAGTGCTTAATATTTAATTGCATTTCCTAAAATGTTGCTTCCGTAGTGAAAAGATGATTAACTGCCTGGTTAAAATGACTTCACGTTAGGTGGTCGAGCATAATCAGATATGTGAGTAGGAATTCCGTCAAATCGATAAATGAGTTCATGAAAGCTGTTGTTTGCGAGTTTGCCTATCGGTTGTAAACCTAAGTTTTTTCAATTGCATAGAGAAATTGGAATGTAACATTCAACTTAGAGCTTGAAAAGCAGTTGACGAGAAATCATTTGACCAATAATTTATATCAAATGGCAGGCTATATGTTAGTTACCAATAGCCCTTTAAGAGACTTCGGGCATCGCAGAGGGGAGGAACATCAAAGTCACAAGAAGGTCGAGGGGGGAGGGGACAGAAGAATGATTCACAGATGTAAAAGAGACAAACCGACATAAAGGTAGAAAAAAAGTAAGATGAGTACTGTGGAAGTGGGGTCATGATAGCTTGGGAATACGTTGCCCAGGGTGCACCACATGGAGGTAAGTCTATCGCGCACCCCTTTTACACAAAATAAAAAATCGTATATTCGAGGCAATTTGAATTGAAGGAGCTCTCCCGTTCATGGTACATTTGCAAATAGACTAAGTGACTTAATACCTTTACGAGGTTCTATTTAACCTCAACTTTTGAAAGGGAGACAAATCAATTTGGTTAGGCAGGGTGCAGATATCTGTCCCTCCAACCTGAATTTGAAAAGCTAACTTAAAAATGCACAACGTATCAGAATTGAGGTTGACATTTTGTAATAACGGTCTTTCATTTTTTGTAAGATCATAAACATTCAGAGCATTAATTAGATATTTTAATACACGCAGTAACAGTACTGGATTTGAGGTGGTCATTTTGCCAATTTTTCATGTTTTTCAACTGTTAATGCCTGATAGAAATTGTCATTGTGTGTGGTCAGAAAGACGGTCAAATTTGGAATAAGTTTGACTCTAATCAGTTAATTTTTACCAAGGTTGCTTTTGCAATTTCCATTGTCAAAATAAATCAAATTTTATTACCTTGGAGGTTTGTTTAAATTTAAAATTTTTGTGTCATTCGTTATTATCCCCACCTCTTCCCCACCGTAATAGAAACAGAATTGTCAATTTATTAATAATGGAAACAAACGATTTTAGGCAGCATAAACTCCACCAATGTTTGTTCCACAAATTCAAGTCATATTTCAAAACATAAATTCCACGAATGGATGGCTCCAAGTGTCCGTTAACTAGAAGCGTCAGTCTCACATCAGAAAGTGGATGAATTCAGAGGTATACAAGCGAATCTGTAACCTCAAACTAATCTTGGATAAATTGCTGGGAAATTACGTCCATGGCTCTTCGTTTTGGTCTGCATCTTTGATGAATGTTTTCAAAAACTAATTTTACTGGATGATGAGCGATGAGTTTTAGTGCCTCTCAACTCTAACATTGTCTCAACAGCTCACATTTAGCCACCTCTCTCAATTAGTACCATTTATGTGGAAAAGAGCCAATGGGCATTGAAGTCGTGACCTCTGCCTTTACAGACAGGAAAGTTAATTGCAACATCTCAAGTGCATTCAAATCGGTTGGGCGCTTGGACGGTACATTCCACCAGTGTGGTGTGTTTACTGATTAAACCAAGCTTAGGAGTTGATTTATCCCATCATGGAAAACTTATCTTATTAGAAATTCCATTAGAAAAAAAGGATAGATACTCTTGAAACCGAGATTTCGACATTACTTCAGAAATGGACTCCTTGACCTTTAACACCTTACCCTTCGAAATGATCTATGACTATTGGTCGGTACTTCACTTCAAAGAGATGTGTGCGAAAGACGTATTTGCCAACGGTCTTCATGAGTGAGGGTTGCATTCATTCCTACTTTCTTCTCCTCCCACAGGCAAATGCACCTATCATTCAGCTAATTGTCGAGGAGAAACTACATCCACAGTGGTCGTGTTTAAAGATTGGGAAGTGCCATCCTTACCACTTCCAAAGTCCCTTCTGTCGCTTCCACTCTGCCCCATATCCACTCAGACTCGGAGAGGAAGAAAAGAGGAGACTTTTAGTTTGAACCACCATTTTTCATCAAAATGAATTGATCTTTATGGCCTTGACATGAGATATTACTTATTGGCTATCTGGTGAGCCAGTACTCCCAAAGACGACTTCACCACAAGGGGTTCCCCATAACCATGTGTGAGAGTGAGAATTCAATCTCCTTCTTATTAAAACTTGCTACGAGGTGATGATCTGTAGAAGTTGTAGATATCTCTAGTCGTTCCATCGAAACCTGCTTTCATTGAGGAACCAGCTCATCCAAAGCAAAAGTTGAGCTTTTACCTCGCGTATTCATCACTGTTTGCCCATAACATTCACCTTTATTGACGGCAATGATCATCGACTTATTAAGTCCTGACAACTTGGCTTGTCTGAGAATACGACGTTTCCAATGAAAATAAATTATTTGAAAATTATGAGTTATTGTGAACCTCATTTATAAATTGGATACTCTGAATAATGTCTGAATTTTTGTCACCACTCTATATCATTTTTTCCAATAACGCGGCTCAATATAATAATTTTAAATAATTTTAAAATATCTGGTAGCATTATTTTAATAAAATTTTCATGAGAAGACCATACTTTATATGTAGCTATCCAAAGCACTTAAATTATGGAAAATCAGTTTACCGCACTTCTGAGCCAGTGGCTATTTCACATGAAGGATCTTGATTGACACTGAATTCGTTTGATCACGTACTCTTACAATGATTCATCCATCATAGTTGCTTTCGAATGATCTATTTTGTTTTCGTCACATTTTTGATAATCTATAGGAAGTGGCACCCGAATTCCCCGACTGGAAGGTACTTTACGTTTCATGAACACAGAGGGATGTTTTCTCTCTTAGAGTTATTAGTATTTCAGGCTCTAAATTAAACGGTGGTATCCAATAATTTGCAGATCAGGTTTGGATTTATGCTCTCACTACCTCCTCGCCTTCTCGAGTCCCCAATTCCTGGGCAGAATATGAGGGAAAAAATTATGCAGAGTCTTGAAACTGTTGGAACAAACGAGATCTCAAGTGGAAAAGAAAGCTGTTCCAATTATATATATTCAGCTCCTCTCTAAGTGCGAGCTCATCTTCTGCCCACCCCCTTGATAAGCCCATTCACTTAGATACTGCTGAAATTAAATAAATTTGAAGTACATAATTTTTAATTACAAGCCATCTTCTCCACCCCCTCCCTTTTAGACCATTTCTAACCAATACGAAGAGAGAACTCATTCACGACTTCGCGTTGCCTTCTGCGGTCCTCGTTATGTCTTTCGTCGGATCATTCCTGTTCAAACGAGTTGAGCGTAAGCATTTCTATGGCAAAAATAAAAATTTCTGCATTTATTTCATAATTAATAGACACGTGGTTTCTTTAATGTAACTTCATCCTATTGGTTCGTTACATAAGCGGTATGATGTCATTGTTACAATTTGTAACAAATAATAACGAGGATTCAATGTTTGCGGGGTTGTGAGAGCCCAGAATGTATTGGAGGGTTGAGCAATTGTTGCATACAATGGCCCAAATGCAGATATCAACGTTTGTACCTACACTTACCGCAACTTTGAATGAATGTTAATCGTCGATTTGTGACACGGTCGTGCTTTCCAGGGTACTCCAAAGGGTGACGCCAATTTGTTAGGTCTTGATAGTTCTGAAACCTTCACACATTTTTGCCATTACACCAAATTTTTACATGCAATTCGCTCTTCAATTAGATCTCAAAATAATTTGTCTGACAAAAAAATTAATTAATTTTTTTAGGAAAAATTTACCGCAATTCAACCTGGAAATAACCTGAATAGAGATCAAGTAAACTTTAAGAAATTCCGCTTAACAAACTTGAAGTTTTGAAATATTTTATTTTTTTATTTTAAATGTCAGGCGTTTCAATAGCTATCATTAGCCCTTTAACTGACTTCGGGCTTCACAGAGAGGAGGAGGAATATCAAGGTGACAAAAAGTAGAGAAGGGGTACAGAAAAATGATTCACAGATGTAAAAGAGACAGACACAAAGGCAGCGAAAAGGTAAGATGAACACCGTGGAAGTAGTCGAATATGACATACGGCGGGGTGATGGTAATTTGAAGGCAGAAGTCAACTGCCGATTAATAGACTTTTTGACATGAGTATACGATTCCCAGGGTACATCACGTGGAGGTAAGTCTTTCGCGCACCCCAGTTTTGAAATATTGTTTGTGAAGCAAAACAATGCCATTAGTATGAAAATTTAGAAACCGCATGTTTGAAACAACCCCATCAATTGGAAATATCAAAATGATGCACTTTCACACTGACTATGTTCAAAATTACTGATTTCTCCCGGTGGCGGGAATTATATTCACCACTATTGGATTGAAAATAACACGAATAAGTACATTAGAAAGCTCTAAGTTATTATGGTCTAATACTCAAAAGGAATTCGAATACGTTCTTGAGCAAATATGACCTCTGTGGCAAAGAAATAAGTCAGTAAATTTCCATTATATACGCAATGTTAGCCTTGTCAACTATAACCGCTTTTCATTAAACACCTGAAAAATAAAAATAACGAACTAATTCAGTAATGAATGAATCTGAATTGAATTGCAATTATTTGTTTCTCTGGGAATTATTGGAGTCCATATCCGATTGAATTTCGCGACATTTTGATTAATGTACGAGAATATTTATGTATAGTAAATGACAGGCTTTATGATTGTTATCATTAGCCCAATTGCTGTCTTCGGGCTTCACAGAGGGAGGAACATCAAAGAGAGAAAACGCGAGGGGTGGGTGAACAGACAAGTGATTTACAGATGTAATAAAGACAGACCGGCGCAGAGGTAGAGAAAAAGTAAGGTGAGTACTGTGGAAGTGGTGGAATATGACATGCAGTGGGATCATGTTAGTTCGAATTCAGGAGTCAACTGCCGG